AATCTATCTATCTATCTATCTATCTATCTATCTATCTATCTATCTATCTATCTATCTTCTAGCTATCTATCTATCTATCTATCTCTATCTATCTATCTATCTACTATCTATCTATCTATCTCTATCTATCTATCTCTCTCTATCTCTCTATCTATCTATCTATCTATCTATCTATCTATCTATCTATCTATCTATCTATCTATCTATCTATCTATCTCTCTATCTATCTATCTATCTATCTATCTATCTATCTATCTATCTATCTATCTATCTATCTATCTCTATCTATCTATCTATCTATCTATCTATCTCTATCTATCTATCTATCTATCTATCTCTCTATCTATCTCTATCTATCTATCTATCTATCTATCTATCTATCTATCTATCTATCTATCTATCTATCTATCTATCTATCTATCTATCTATCTATCTATCTATCTATCTATCTATCTATCTATCTATCTATCTATCTATCTCTATCTATCTATCTATCTATCTATCTATCTATCTATCTATCTATCTATCTATCTATCTATCTATCTATCTATCTATCTATCTATCTATCTATCTATCTATCTATCTATCTATCTATCTATCTATCTATCTCTCTATCTATCTATCTATCTATCTATCTATCTATCTATCTATCTATCTATCTATCTATCTATCTATCTATCTATCTATCTATCTATCTATCTATCTATCTATCTATCTATCTATCATCTATCTATCTATCTATCTATCTATCTATCTATCTATCTATCTATCTATCTATCTATCTATCTATCTATCTATCTATCTATCTATCTATCTATCTATCTATCTATCTATCTATCTATCTATCTATCTATCTATCTATCTATCTATCTATCTATCTATCTATCTATCTATCTATCTATCTATCTATCTATCTATCTATCTATCTATCTATCTATCTATCTATCTATCTATCTATCTATCTATCTATCTATCTATCTATCTATCTATCTATCTATCTATCTATCTATCTATCTATCTATCTATCTATCTATCTATCTATCTATCTATCTATCTATCTATCTATCTATCTATCTATCTATCTATCTATCTATCTATCTATCTATCTATCTATCTATCTATCTATCTATCTATCTATCTATCTATCTATCTATCTATCTATCTATCTATCTATCTATCTATCTATCTATCTATCTATCTATCTATCTATCTATCTATCTATCTATCTATCTATCTATCTATCTATCTATCTATCTATCTATCTATCTATCTATCTATCTATCTATCTATCTATCTATCTATCTATCTATCTATCTATCTATCTATCTATCTATCTATCTATCTATCTATCTATCTATCTATCTATCTATCTATCTATCTATCTATCTATCTATCTATCTATCTTATCTAGCTATCTATCTATCTATCTATCTATCGATCTATCTATCTACTATCTATCTATCTATCGAATCAAAAGATAAAAATATATCTATCTATCTATCTTCTATCTATCTATCTTTCTATCTTTCTCTATCTATCTATCTATCTATCTATCTATCTATCTACTAATCTATCTATCTATCTATCTATCATCTACTATTATCTATCTAGCACTATCTATCTATCTATCTATCTATCTATCTATCTATCTACTATCTATCTATCTATCTATCTATCTATCTATCTATCTTACTATCTATCTATCTATCTATCTATCTATCTATCTATCTATCATATCTATCTATCTATCTAGCTATCGATCCGATCTATCTATCTATCTATCTTCTTCTATCTATCTATCTATCGTCTATCTATCTAATCTAGCTATCCTATCTATCGATCTATCTATCGACTACGATCTATCTATCTATCTATCTATCTATCGATCTATCTATCTATCTATCTATCTATCTATCTACTATCTATCTATCTATCTATCTATACATCTATCTATAAACCTACCTATAGGTCTATCTATAGATCTATTAATAGATCTGCCTATTAATCTATTTGTAGTTCTGTCTATAGATGCTAAATCAAGTGTTTTACAAATTGATATAATTAGTTGTAACCCCTTCGACTTTTGAACCTCAACATATTCATTAAAATCATTTTCTCTTTCTTATTTTTCCAGGTTTTTATCGTCCTCGCAAATTAGGTCACAATTTTCCTAGATTATATGACATTGTTGAAGGTGAAACGATAGCGAATGCGTTCCTCCAATTAAATCCTGACAAAAGAATAGGTGCAGAAGAGGCGTTACATCATTCATATTTTGCCCAATTACCAAAAAAATTATATGAATTGCCTGATGGTAAGACTATTGAGATTTTATTGCAGCAATATAATTCCTGAAATACAAGAAAAAAATATATGTATATGTACTATATATATTAAAAATATAAAAAATGTTTACTAAAGAGACAATGGAGTTTTGTAGTTTGATACCTTTACTTTTTTGTTAGGGTTTCAAAAGGTTTATTTTTTTAATTAAATATTTTTGTTTTACGAATTCGTCAGGTACTTTTACTGAACATAATTTCGTTACATTGCTATTAACATGACAATTTTTTATAATAGAAAAGAAAACTTTTTTGTTTGTCTTGCTGTTGATTTAAACAAAACAATTGTCAAAATGAAATTTTAAATGTACAAAAAATTCACAACAATTGCAGAAAGTTTTTATTAATAAAACTTTAAATCAAAACAAAAAGTTTATGTAAATTTTTCCGGTGTCACCAACAATTTTAATTAAAATTTCACAAGGCGATGATAATTACAAAGTATTTAAACAACAATTAATTTAAAATCGTTCAGTTAAAATAAAACAAATACTTAATTTATGGCTTACTTTGTAATGAGCAGTAATTATATTTAACATTACTGTAAATTAATTTATAGTCTCTATAATAAAATAGACTTAACACATCCCAGTTGTTGGTCTAAATTTATTACTACAAATTACTGTTAATGATTTTGTAACATTAACACTTGCATTAACTGCAACTGCTCGCTTTACAAAAACCCAAAAAATAATTCACATCCTCGCATACATAACAATTAAAATCAACTAAATATTCTTAAAATTCCCAAAAACTTTATATACCCAACCCGACTCATTCATACTCTACTATTTAGCTCATTAACAAATGACCTAAAAAATAATTTTCTAAAACATTAAAATTTTACTCATTAGAACACAAATCAAACTGCTGCTGTTGTTTGTTCTGCTTAAATGTTCAAAATGTTGCTACTATTCGTATTTCCTGCATGTTAATTATTTCGAAAATCTTTTTATGGGATTTTGCGCTAAACCACTTATCTAACCTTCAATTATTGCAAAAACACATGAGTATCGTATCGTTCGTATGAGCATTTTGTTTCGCCTCAACATTATACATATTTGATAATTTTTATTACACCGTCAGTATCTGTATCAGATGATAATCATCCACATCATTAAAAGCAGCGCCAAAAGTACACATGTTGCAATATGTATCTTTCATTAAATCGCTAGTCATCTCCTGGTACTGAAAACTCATTAACTCTTAAATGCAAATAGAAACGATTTGATAACATTAAAGAAGAGTAACAGAAGGAAATAAAATGCATGCGAAATATTTAGTCCCGTTATATATACATATGGGCAATTTCGTGTCAAGTGGTTAGCATTGTTGGATAATAGACCAGAAACAAATCTTCGCCTCTATCGGCCAAGAACTACCGGACTTAGAGGGGGTCAAAGTTGGACATTAGTTCTAGTTCAGTTCCAGTTAAGTTCTAGTTCAGTTCTAGTTCAGTTCTAGTTCAGTTCTAGTTCAGTTCTAGTTCTGTTCTAGTTCAGTTCTAGTTCAGTTCTAGTTCAGTTCTAGTTCAGTTCTAGTTCAGTTCTAGTTCAGTTCTAGTTCAGTTCTAGTTCAGTTCAGTTCTAGTTCAGTCTAGTTCAGTTCTAGTTTCAGTTCTAGTTCAGTGCTAGTTCGTTCTAGTTCAGTTCTAGTTCGTTTTCTAGTTCAGTTCTAGTTCAGTTCTAGTTCAGTTCTATTCAGTCTAGTTCAGTTCAGTTCAGTTCTAGTTCAGTTCTAGTTCGTTTCTAGTTCAGTTCTAGTTCATTCGAGTTTCAGTTCTAGTTCAGTTCTATTTCAGTTCTAGTTCAGTTCTAGTCAGTTCTAGTTCAGTTCTAGTTCAGTTCTAGTTCAGTTCTAGTTCGTTCTAGTTCAGTTCTAGTTCAGTTCTAGTTCAGTTCTAGTTCAGTTCTGTTCAGTTCTAGTTCAGTTCGAGTTCAGTTCTAGTTCAGTTCTAGTTCAGTTCTAGTTCAGTTCTAAGTTCAGTTCTAGTTCAGTTCTAGTTCAGTTCTAGTTCAGTTCTAGTTCAGTTCTAGTTCAGTTCTAGTTCAGTGTCTAGTTCAGTTCTAGTTCAGTTCTAGTTCATTTCTAGTTCAGTTCTAGTTCAGGTTCTAGTTCAGTTCTGTTCAGTTCTAGTTCAGTTCTAAGGTCAGTTCTAGTTCAGTTCTAGTTCAGTTCTAGTTCTAGTTCAGTTCTAGTTCAGTTTAGTTCAGTTCTAGTTCAGTTCTAGTCAGTTCTAGTTAGTTCTAGTTCAGTTCTAGTTCAGTTCTAGTTCAGTTCTAGTTCAGTTCTAGTTCAGTTCTAGTTCAGTTCTAGTTCAGTTCTAGTTCAGTTCTAGTTCAGTTCTAGTTCAGTTCTAGTTCAGTTCTAGTTCAGTTCTAGTTCAGTTCTAGTTCAGTTCTAGTTCAGTTCTAGTTCAGTTCTAGTTCAGTTCTAGTTCAGTTCTAGTTCAGTTCTAGTTCAGTTCTAGTTCAGTTCTAGTTCAGTTCTAGTTCAGTTCTAGTTCAGTTCTAGTTCAGTTCTAGTTCAGTTCTAGTTCAGTTCCAGTTAAGTTCTAGTTCAGTTCTAGTTCAGTTCTAGTTCAGTTCTAGTTCAGTTCTAGTTCAGTTCTAGTTCAGTTCTAGTTCAGTTCTAGTTCAGTTCTAGTTCAGTTCTAGTTCAGTTCTAGTTCAGTTCTAGTTCAGTTCTAGTTCAGTTCTAGTTCAGTTCTAGTTCAGTTCTAGTTCAGTTCTAGTTCAGTTCTAGTTCAGTTCTAGTTCTGTTCTAGTTCAGTTCTAGTTCAGTTTTAGTTCATACAAAGAAATCTAACAAAATTTAATTCGCAAAATAATTTTTAATAATTTGACTATAATAAGCAATTTTTCAATGAATTATTAAAGTTTGTAAAATTAAAATATGTATGTATTTGTGGTGTAATAAACTGTGAAAATAATGCAATAAAGTATTTGCAAAGTTTTCTATGAATTTATATTAAAATATTTAAATCATTTATTTTCATAATAATCAGATTTAGAACTAAATAAAATATTTTATTGTTTAAAATTTAAATCGTTTAAATAGTAGCTACTAATATTTTACAAAATATAAAATTATGTAAACAATTAATTTTATATCAAAACAAATAAAGCAAATTTATGCAGTTGATTTATTTTCAAGTGGCTTAATTTATTGAATTTTGTTAAAACATTTGATTAACTTTTATTAAAAACACTAAATCCAAATGCCAAACAACTGTAATAATATTATTTGTTTGCACAAACCACTTTCATTATGGACATTTAAAAGGGAGTTGAATGCATTCAACTAAAATTGCACAAAGTCCTTCAATTATTGTTGAATGGATTTGTAATGGTATTATTATTACTATTGCTTGCAAAGTAAACATTTTTTTTGTTGTAAATCAGAAGTTTTGTTTTTGTGTACAGAGAGAAAAATTACACTGTATGTACTTTTTAGCTGTTTTTTTTTAAACAAATATTTACCTAATTTTTTCCTGAAATTGGATGCCAAAATTAAAATGGCTGCTACTATTGTATTCAATTAGTGCTGTAAGAGTCCCTTGAACATTTTGTATCAGTTGTAGGTGTAGTAGTTAGTATTACTAGCCATTACTTGCTATTCTACTCCTGTTACTTGTTTTACTGTATGTATCGTGAATGTATCATCACTAATTGAGTTTAAATTAAATTCAGTGAAATGGAAATTGAATTTCCTGTGTTTTCATTGTAAGTGAGTAATGTAATTTCAGAATTAAGAAGGCTCCCTGTTTATGGCAACATTTTGGAACTTCATTGTCTTGGGAGCAGCACCTCTTTTTATTAATTTATAATTTAATAATATGTATTATCATCAACATTCCAAAAGTATTTGCAAAAAACCTTTATTTTCTATTTACCCAACAAATAACAAACTACCCGTATTTTTCTATACAATATTTACCAGTCCAAATGTTATGCACACGATTTATTTTTTTTTTTACTAACCACTGCCACCCTAAAGCCCCTAATCAATGTCGAATCCCCTCCAATCGAATGTAAACATATAAATTTTGTGGTTTTGCATGAGTGTAAATATAAGTGCAAATCTGTCTGTCCTTCTAATGGTTTTAACTCCAACATACAATTGTAGTTATTTGTGGTTTCTACCGATAGGTTTTTATAGTTTTTTTTTCGATATTGCTATAAATAATTAAATCTTTTTATTAAATTTTACAAAATTTTAAACATTTTATAAATGTTTTACTGACTTGGCTCCTTTGCTTCATTCACAAAGTGATAATTAATTATAGATTTTTTAATTAAAACAGTTTTATTTGAAATTTTGCCATAGCTTATTTTAATCGAAATAATTATTTAATGTAAACAGTATTATTTGCTTTTTTGGGCTTTTTTCCCTCTACGTTTATTTTTTTTTGTAATTTAGTCAAAAGTGGTTTTTGTGGCTAAAATGATTATCTCCCATAAGCTGTTTGTAGACATAATGTTTATTTTAATTTTCAATTAAAAATAAATTCTATGAAAATTTATAATTGTTTATTAAAACATTTATGTAAATTAAAAAAAACTGAACTTAAATTTATTATTTAATTTAAAAATTATAAAAAGAATTATACGTTTATGACTAAAAATGTGGAAAACTATTTCAGTTAATAATCAGTTAAGTTCTAGTTCAGTTCTAGTTCCGTTCTAGTTCTGTTCTAGTTCAGTTCTAGTTCAGTTCTAGTTCAGTTCTAGTTCAGTTCTAGTTCAGTTCTAGTTCAGTTCTAGTTCAGTTCTAGTTCTAGTTCAGTTCTAGTTCAGTTCTAGTTCAGTTCTAGTTCAGTTCTAGTTCAGTTCTAGTTCAGTTCTAGTTCAGTTCTAGTTCAGTTCTAGTTCAGTTCTAGTTCAGTTCTAATTCAGTTCTAGTTCAGTTCTAGTTCAGTTCTAGTTCAGTTCTAGTTCAGTTCTAGTTCAGTTCTAGTTCAGTTCTAGTTCAGTTCTAGTTCAGTTCTAGTTCAGTTCTAGTTCCGTTCTAGTTCTGTTCTAGTTCAGTTCTAGTTCAGTTTTAGTACATTTCTAGTTCAGTTCTAGTTCAGTTCTAGTTCAGTTCTAGTTCAGTTCTAGTTCAGTTCTTGTTCAGTTCTAGTTCAGTTCTAGTTCAGTTCTAGTTCAGTTCTAGTTCAGTTCTAGTTCAGTTGTAGTTCAGTTCTAGTTCAGTTGTAGTTCAGTTCTAGTTCAGTTCTAGTTCAGTTCTAGTTCAGTTCTAGTTCAGTTCTAGTTCAGTTCTAGTTCAGTTCTAGTTCAGTTCTAGTTCAGTTCTAGTTCAGTTCTAGTTCAGTTCTAGTTCAGTTCTAGTTCAGTTCTAGTTCAGTTCTAGTTCAGTTCTAGTTCAGTTCTAGTTCAGTTCTAGTTCAGTTCTAGTTCAGTTCTAGTTCAGTTCTAGTTCAGTTCTAGTTCAGTTCAAGTTCAGTTCTAGTTCAGTTCTAGTTCAGTGCTAGTTCAGTTCTAGTTCAGTTCTAGTTCAGTTCTAGTTCTAGTTCAGTTCTAGTTCAGTTCTAGTACAGTTCTAGTTCAGTTCTAGTTCAGTTCTAGTTCAGTTCTAGTTCAGTTCTAGTTCAGTTCTAGTTCAGTTCTAGTTCAGTTCTAGTTCAGTTCTAGTTTAGTACTAGTTCATTTCTAGTTCAGTTCTAGTTCAGTTCTAGTTTAGTACTAGTTCATTTCTAGTTCATTTCTAGTTTAGTTCTAGTTTAATTCTGGCTACAAATAATGTTCAATTGAAAATCTTTAACTTGATCATAATTAAACTTTCTGTGAACTTTTCTGGAATAAGTTCTAAAACGAGAAAATTTTTAAGAACTTTGAGATTCCTTATATTGAAAACAATTCCCGATCTAGTTAATATTATTCTCTTATTTTCTCTTTTTAGAAACCTCCATATTTACGGTTGAAGGTGTGCATTTGTATCCGGAGCCCAATAGACAGAGTAAATGAAAATTAAAGCAAGTCCTATCAGTGGATGGTGTACGTTTCTACTGTTAGCAGTAACATTTAAATACTATTACAACAAGATTAACTAAAACAACATAAACTACTACGACAACAACAACAAAAACAGCCATAAAATGATATATTAACATTAAAAACCCAACAAGAAACACACACACTATATAATTTAATTTTTAAATGTAAAACATTAAACTACAACCACACACACACACAAAAAAAAAATAATAATTTTATATTATTTTTTTAAAGTATTTTTCTTAAAAAACAAAATATTATAAATAGTTTCCACAATTATTGCTAATTTTTCTTTGTGTTTATATAATTTTTAAATAAAATTTATAATTTTTAATCTAAAAAAAATCTTTAATAAAACTTAAAATTAAGAAACAGACAAAGAATGATTAAAACAAAACTAAAATAAATTAAAACTAAATTGATTTAAAACGAAACAAAAAATAAAATGTTTAAAAAATTATTAAAAAATTAAATAAATTTAAGTAACTAAATTTAATTATAAAATTAACTAGTTTAACTAAAATTTAAAAATAATTAAAAAAGAAAACAAAATTAAATTTAAATTGATAAATAAAAAAACGCCAAAAAAAATTCGAATGAAAAAAACTTTTATCTAAAACAAAACAACAACAAAACATAGTCGAACAACAATTAAAGTAGTTTTAAATTAAAACAAGAATTAAACACGTGCCTCCAGGTCCTCAGGTCCTTGATGAGCGTAAGCACCAACAACAAAATAAGGAATTACCTTAAAAACACAAATACGATTTAAACGTTGAAAACAAAAACCTAAACATCAAAATAAATTAAAAACCTCAAGCGAAAAAAAACCATAACAAAATAAATTAAATACGTTAAAAATACAAACACCACTTTTTAAACATTTAGAAATTTAAAAGATAGAAAAAAAATATTGAAAATTTACTCACTAATCGAAGCAGCTACTATTTTAAAGCACTTTCAAGAAAGTTAGAAACATTTTATAAATGGCAGAGTTATCATTTGGACCATTTGAGGGAAGTAGCGATTTTTTTGAGCAGGAAAGGAATTTATAAATAATAATTGAATACTGTTCTGATAGAGTCTAGTATTTGGGTCACACTAGAATCTGGTCTATAGTTCAGACTATAGTTTATAGTCTACTTTATAGTTCAGAATATCTTCTATAGTCTGGTCTATAACTCAGACTATAGTCTGGTTTATACTTCAGACTATAGTCTGATCTATAGTTTGGTCTATAGCTCAGACTATAGTCTGGTCTATAGTTTGATCTATAGTTATATATATATATAGTCTGGTCTATAGTTCAGACTATAGTTTGCTCTATAGATCAGATAAGAGTCTGCTCTATAGTTCAGACTATAGTATGGTTTATAGTTCAGACTAGTGTCTGCTCTATAGTTCAGACTAGAGTCTGCTCTATAGTTCAGACTAGAGTCTGCTCTATAGTTCAGACTAGAGTCTGCTCTATAGTTCAGACTAGAGTCTGATCTATAGTTCAGTCTAGAGTATTGTCTATAGTTTATAGTTCAAATTATATACTGTTCTAAAATACAGTCTAGCGTCTGGCCTATACATCAGACTCTACTAGCATGGTACAGAATATTGTCTGCTCTATAACTATAGTCTGGTCTATAGTTCAGACTATAGTCTGATCCATAGTTTAGACTATAGTCTGGGCTATAGTTCAGACTATAGTCTGGTCTATAGTTCAGACTATAGTCTTGTCTATACTGTAGTCTTGTCTATAGTTCAGACTATAGTCTGGGCTATAGTTCAGACTATAGTCTGGTCTATAGTTCAGACTATAGTCTGGTCTATAGTGCAGACTATAGTCTGGTCTATAGTTCAGACTATAGTCTGGTCTATAGTTCAGACTATAGTCTGGTCTATAGTTCAGACTATAGTCTGGTCTATAGTTCAGACTATAGTCTGGTCTATAGTTCAGACTATAGTCTGGTCTATAGTTCAGACTATAGTCTGGTCTATAGTTCAGACTATAGTCTGGTCTATAGTTCAGACTATAGTCTGGTCTATAGTTCAGACTATAGTCTGGTCTATAGTTCAGACTATGGTCTGGTCTATAGTTCAGACTATGGTCTGGTCTATAGTTCAGATTATGGTCTGGTCTATAGTTCAGATTATAGTCTGGTCTGTAGTTCAGACAATAGTCTGGTCTATAGTTCAGACTATAGTCTATAGTCATGTATATAGTTCAGACTATAATCTATAGTCTTGTCTATAGTTCAAACTATAGTCTGGTCTATAGTTCAGACTATAGTCTGGTCTATAGTTCAAACTATAGTCTGCTCTATAGTTCAGATTATAGTCTGGTCTGTAGTTCAGACTATAGTCTGGTCTATAGTTCAGACTATAGTCTATAGTCATGTCTATAGTTCAGACTATAGTCTGGTCTATAGTTCAGACTATAGTCTATAGTCATGTCTATAGTTCAGACTATAGTCTGGTCTATAGTTCAGACTAAAGTCTGGTCTATAGTTCAGACTATAGTCTGCTTAATAGTTCATATAAGAGTCTGCTCTGTAGTTCAGACTGATGTACATATATAAGTCAGATTAAAGATATTACTACAGATTGGACTAGAGTATAGTTTAAACTATAGACTGGTCTAAAGTACTGACTAGAGGCGGGTGTATAGTTTAGACTGTAGTCTGGTATATAGATCAGAATCATTCATCCCCATAGTTTAAACTATAGCCTGACCGATAGTTCGTACTACATATCTTGAATTCTATAATCTGATCTTTAGTTCAGACTGGAATCTAATCTATAATTCAGACTCGAGTCTAGTCTATAATTTAGATTATAGTTTAGTCTGTAGTCCAGATTAAAGTTGGAATAGAGTCTTGGGTATATTTCAGAGTGGTATACAATTTTGCTAGTTCAGACTAGAATCTTGTCTGGATCCTAGACTATAAGCTATAATCTGTTCCAGGGTTTAGACTACTGTCCGATCAATACTTCAGTGTATGGTCGGGTATTTTGTCCAAACTATAGTCAAGTTTATAGTTCAACCTATTAAGTCTAAAGTTCAGATTGTAGGCTTCTGTAATATTTAAAATCCTTCAATGAAATGAAATTCCTACCTCCTATAAAAATGCTGCTGCCCTCATATAAAAAACATAGTTTAAAAACCCTATACCACAGCAAAAATTAAAAAAAAAAGTATTTTATAGATCAAAAACAAACAATTAAGACTCAGAGACAAAAAGTTTTGTTGATGCACTCATAATTAGATTTATGACTATTTTTTTCCTTCCCCTCTTATTTTTATTTAATTAGTTAAATGAAAGGAAAATACTATTATTTACTATTTATATAAAAAAATTATAATTTTTTTTATACTAAAAACTAATTGTTTTTATTTCTTTTGCAATGTATTATTATTTTTGACCACTTTAATAAACACATTTATTGTTTTGTTTAAAAAATTTATTATTTTTTTCTCGGACTAATGTTTGCCAATAATTAAATTTATATCTCTTTTTAGTTTTTTTTTAATAAACAAATTTTGTATTATAGTAAAATTTAATTAATATAATTGCAAGCAAAATATGTATTTTTTACCATATAAATATTTTTTATATAAACTAAACTTTAAAATATTTAAAAAAAAAACTAACAAAAAATAAATATTTTTGTTAAATTAATTTCTAAATGAAATACTATTACAACATGTTTAGAAAGTAAATGGACACATTATTTAAAGTCATTTAAATTTCAAAATTTCTATTACTAAGGTTCTATAAAAAATTTACTTTTCCTATCGGTAGCTGTTTTTTATATTAGTTTTTAATCAATTTGTCCATTTACTTTTTATTTACCCTGTAATAGTTTTCACATTTTTTTTCCTATATTTGTATAATACTTATTTGCAATTTATATAAAAAAAGAAAGTTTAACTTTTTTTTTTGCTTTGAAATTTAAATTCATTTATTATTTTTATTTTAATTTGTTTATTTTTAATAATATTAATATTATTATTATTTTTAATTATACGTGTGTTATCATTTGATTATAGTTTATGCAATTAGTGATATAGAAAGAAAAAAAAGAAAGATTGTATGATAATTAATAATTATTATTTTTTAAATAACATGAATTTAAAAAGAAGAATTTTTAAGTGATTAATAATAAAATGAAAAACAATTTTTAACATATGTTTTTATTTGTGTTTGTTTTCTTTATTTTGCATATGATTTGTTTTAATTTAACTGGAACAGAAGGTGTGAATTAAAAAAAGACATATTTTGTTTATTTCCAAAAAAAATCTATTAAAGAAATATTACACAGTGAGACAAAATAAACGAAAATTGAAATATCTGGGAAGTGGCACGATTTTTCTTAAAGGTCGATCTGAGTAGAACAGGAATCAGTTTTTTTAATTTGCCTTTCAGAAAAATAGTATCACTTCCCAGATATTTCTTTTTGTCGCATAGTGTTATTGAAGCTATTACACTAACAAACGTCCTTGTTTCGGAAACTCTATAGATATACATTAAAGGCGAATCTGCTCCATTTGCCATTTTATTCAAGTAGTCTGATCTACAGTTCATACTCTATACTCTGGTATTCCATATTCTATAGTTGAGACTACATTCTATTCTAAAGAATACTGTTAGGAATAGAATAATCAGTTCATACTAGAATCTGGTTTAAAGTACAGACTATAGTCTGGTTTACAGTTTAGAATATAGTTCAGTCCAGAGTATGGTATATTGTTCAGACTATAGTCTGCTCTGTAGTTCAGACTTTTTCTGGTCTATAGTTCACACTAGACTCTGTGCTAGAGTGATGTCTATAAGTGAGACTAGAGACATGTCAACAATTTGGAATAGAGTATTGTCTATAGTTCTGACTATAGTATGTTCCAAGTTCAGAATATAGTCTGAACTATTGTTCAGACTCTAATTTTGTCTATAGTTCAGGTTATAGTCTGATCTATAGTTCAAATTGTGGACTGGTCTATAGCATATAATATGGTCTGACTTATTTTATAGTTCAGAATGAGGAATGATCTATGGTTCAGATTATAGTCTGATATATAGTTCTGAGTCCGAAATTGTTTATAGTTTACACTAACCTGGTCTACACTACAGACTAGTC